TGATGACGATGCGCTGCGTGCTGCTTGTGTGTGCGCTGTGTGCGTGGTGCGCCTGCGGGTGTGAGGCGGGTGAAGATCGAATCACTGATTCGTCCGGAAGTGCTGTTGAACAGCTTTCCTCGGCTGCAGAAGGCGGTCTACCAGGGGCTGCTGCTGGGCTGTGCCCTCCACCTTGCGGTAAGGGTGGTGAGAAGGGGTGCCGTTGCGTCGATGCTGGCGGCAATGCTGTGGTGTCTGATGGTTGCAAAGGTGGTGCTCCTGTGTCGGAGAGATGCAAGGACGGCACTCTTTCTCCGCCTTGCAAGGATGAAAAGGACGAGGCTTGCAAGCTTTCTTCGCCTGTCACTCTGCCTGAAGCTGTTGTGCAGCGTGGTGGAGTTACATGCAAGCCTCAAGAGGTTCCTTGTTCTTCTGTGCTCGCTGATGGTAGCGGCACCGAAGCCGCGGTTACGACATGTGTGAAGCCTGAGAACGTCTCTGAGTGCCCGAATGGGCAGAGGATCGTTTCTGTAGGCCCGGAGAGTCCACGTGACACTAATGTGCGAAGCGATGTTGTGTCCGGCACCAACAAATCCATTGATTCGACGTGTGCGGGTTCTGAGACACCTTGTGTTCTTCCACAGGCGCAACCTCAGCCGAAATTGCCAGGAAGGGAGGATGAAAATCTTCAAAGGGGTGCCGAGTGTGAGGGACATATTACTGGATGTCCTCCTGGCCCTACTGGTCAGCCTGCGAACGAAGAGTGCTTAACCTCTCCGCAGAAATGCAGCACAACGTCGTCTCCTACGGGAGGGACCACTGGACAGGGCGGTGGGCTTAGCACCAGTGGAACATTAAGCACGGACTTGAGTACGGAGTCCAGGGGTGCAGGGAACTTGTTGGATCCACAGACTAAGGGGAAGAGAAAAGGGGATAAAGATTCCAATGATCAGGACCAAAAACAACTCGGTGGGTTGGAATCTACACATGTATCGCAGCAGACGACACCTCCTGGAAAGCAGCGGGCACGAGAAATTCTCTCAGGTAGCGGTCAAGGCGGCAAAGCCAGTGACGGTGTCTTGGAAGCGATATCTCAAAGTACAGTCAGCCATCCCTCCAATGAGGTGAGCACAAAAACGAAACTAAAGGGTAGCGATCAGGCACCCACCAACGATAAGAAAGGCCCACGGCTCACAGATGCTGTAAATGGTGAAACTGATTCCACCGCAGCTGATGCCACGTCGATCGCTGGTGAAGCCGGTACTGAACCAGCGGAGACACAGAACTTATCAGGACCTGCTTCCACGAGTACTGGTGCTAGTGAGGCCACAGACAGCAACCCTTCCACCACCGTTACTGAGACCGAGAACGTGAAGGACACGAAGAATACGGACAGCAGCGTCAGTCCTGTGTGGGTGCATGCACCGCTGCTTCTGGTGGCGTTGTTTGCAGTGGCGGCTGTGTCATGAGCATCGTGGCCAAGTAACATGCCTCCTCGCTCTCTGTGTGTGTGAGTGTGTGTGTACTTATCCCCCTTCTCTTCGTAATGATTGCTTGGGGCTCAACTGCTGCCCCTTTGTGTGGTTGGTACTTTGCTTTGTGTGTGTGTGTG